GGCGAGAGGCTCGCCGTCTTACCCCCCAGGACTGGCCGGGCGCCGACCGGCGGGCCCCTGCCGACAACTGCCCAACCACCTCTGCCAGTCTCTTTTCCGTCGCAGCCAACTTTTCCTCAGCTCCGTCGGTGGCCCCACCGCGTGAGCTGGGAGCTGCTGCGGGAGAGGCGGCCCCGCCTGCCTCCGCAGGCGCGTCCGCCGCGTTGGCGCCAGGAGCCACGGCGGGCGCTGACGCTAGGGCGTCGGCGGCGGCGGCCCGAAGCCTTCCTCTTCTTCGATGCCCGACGAATCTCATGCAGCTTGGGCCCGTGCTCGCCGAGATTAGACTGTGACAGACCGAATTTTACGCGCGTGGTGTCAGCCGGCGCCTCAAGACTTTTCTTCATGCGACGGCCCAGCTCTTCCAGATCCGACGCGGACATGACCCGATCATCGTTCGAAGCTTCGCCCCCAACGAGCTAGGGGGCACATCTGGGTCGAAGGCACCTGCTTCCGACACCGAGAGCAAGAGGTTCCATATCGATAGTGGCCCCAGACTGCGAACTGCTCCCATCCTGCACCATCGTCTTGGACAGGTCAGCGCGCTTCTTCTCGGCGGCAGCCGAAGCGCGAGCTGCCTCCGCCATTGCCTCGGAAGCCTTCTCCACCACCGACGTGTCCCTCGACTTGGACGTCTTCGCCTTGCCAGAGGCCGGCTGGGCCTTGTACCTCGGATGCCGCCGCCGTGACCTGCTGGGTGGGCTGCAGCGCCGGTTCGGATGACGCATCAGCTTTCTGGGCAGCGTCGGGCACGACTTCCGCAGCAAGTGTTCTCAGGATTGCCAGGCTTGGCCTTGACAGGAGCCTCCGATTGCACCTGCATGCTGCCCGTGACGCTCTTGCCCTTACCTGCGGGCAATACTTCTGTCCATATCCACTGCAGCATGGAGTTTCGGGCTCCCTTCCCAAGAAACCCAAGGCGCACTGGATATGAAAAAATTTCCCCCCTAGAGGCTCGATGTTTGTCCATATCCAGTGCGCCTCGGCCTTGTGGCGCCGCTTCCAAAAAAAGTCCAAGAGGCACTGGATATAGACATGAATCTTGCCCGCATTACCCTCGCCCCTGCCTGTCGACGGGGCAGAGGCGTCGTCCTGCAACGCAGCCGCCCGATTGCCGAAGGGCGCACCGCGTAGACCAGGTAGCTTGGGCACCCATGCCCACCTCGCGCACGCTGAACACGACGCTCGGGTATTGGCATCCTTCAAGTTGCTCGTGGGCCTTGTGGCCGTGCGCTGGGCAGCAGGAGCTCGTGGTGGTGGCGCCATCGCCCACCTCGGCGGCGGGGGCGGTATACTCCGTAATCCGCTGCTAGGCTGCAGCCCAGGCGGGACAGGCTGGCCTAGAGCAGACCAAGGATCCCCCTTGAACAATATCTTATTGTTCTTCTTATTTTTTCTTACTATTATTAGTTATATTCTTCTTATTCTTCTCACTATGATTGCTCTTATGTGTGATCATCGCGAAGTAGGATCCCAACCGACATCGCGCGGACATTTCCAGAGGCCCCGACTGCTCTCGCGCGCTATGCACGCGAAACACATAGCTCAAATGGCTTGAGAAGGAGGAGGATGAGGACGAGGACGAGGAGGATGAGGAGGAATATGAGGAGGATGGGCGAGGAGGAGGAGAGGGAGGAGGGGGGAGGAGGAGGAGGAGGAGGAGGAGGAGGAGGAGGAGCGATGAGGATAAGGAGGGGTGAGGAGGAGTGAGGAGGGGGACGGGTGAGGAATAATGCTGATGAATGCAGACGGAGGGGGAGGAGGCTGGAGACTGGAGACTACCTCGGGACCCTGGCGGGTCCCGCTCGCCCACTGGCGCGGGGAATCCCCTCAGGGGCCCTCCATCTTCTTCAAAACCTCGGAGCCGTCGACGACCTCTCAGTCTTCGGCGGCGTCCTCGCCCGAGCCATCGGTGAACGCACCAAGCTCGATGCACGCCTTGGCCACGACGGCGCGCTGGGCGTAGAGCTCCTCCAAGAAGCCGTCCCCCCCCAGGTCGCCGTCCGACTCCGCCCAGCCAATCAGCTCGTGGAGGGTGCGCAGAACCTCCATGCCCCTGGCCTTCTTGACGTCGCTGTCGTGGCCGCTCTCGGTGGGCGGCAGCTGGACGGAGAGGCGCGACACCTCCGCCTCCTGCACTTCCAGCTGGCCCTTCTCCTGGTGCACGCCGACCACCTGATCCGTCACGAGCCGACGTGACGCAATGGCCGCCTCCTCCTTCATGAAGATCTCGCCATTGGCCCGCAAGACGTCCTGCCACGACGAGCGAGCCTCTTCCAGCAGCGGGAACGGCGGGATCTTCCCCAGCTCCCTGTACCAGCCGTGGAGCCTGTCCGAGCTGGTGTCCTCCTCATCGTCAGCGTCCCCAATGTCAAAGTGCTCCGTCTCCTGCGTGCTCTTGCTCTTGAGGATGTCCCCATGCAGGCCGTTCGCCTCCGCGAGCTCCACCACGCCCTGCGAGGCCATCACGAGGGCCCCACCCTGTCCTCCGACATGCCCTTCTTCTGGTTCCAGCGGTTCGGCCGCGTCCAGCCGCCCCAGCCGTCCTCCGAGTCCGACCCGCTGAGCTCCTGGGGCGCCTTCGGCATCACTTCCTGATGGCCCTTCATCTCCGCCTCCGACGCCCCCGGAGCAGTAGAGCCCTGCTGAAACTTGAAGTCCTCCTCCGCTGCCTTCGAGGCCTCCTCGAAGGGGTTCGCCCCAGTTGGCTCCTCCACCGTCTTCTCCTTCTTGTCCTTGGTGCCCTCCTGGGACCGCGACTGCACCACGTGCTTCGCCATCGCCTTGGCCTCCGCCGTGATGCTCGCCGCCTGTACCTTCGGCATCCTCTTTGCCCGTGGTGCCGCCCGCGCCGAGGTCGCCTTCCTCGGCGGCGTGCGCGGCCTCCGAACTGCAGGCGTCCGCTTCTCCAGCTCGATGGACGCCAGCTTGGCCGAGTTGTACGTCCTGCGCAGGATGCGCATCGGGCCGTACCCCAGGCCCATCTCGTCCAGGCTCCGCGGCTGCGACCCTGGACAGGTGGCCGATGTCGCCCACGACGACGTCGACGTCGACATCCCCGTCGCAGCCCGCGCCGATCAGGACGTCGTGGATGCCGTGGCCCAAGGACTCACCGAGGAGGTCCGCAGTCACGAAGAAGCGGAACCTCATCGGGCCATCGCTGGCTCGCGCGGGCAGGCCGTTCTGAAGAACGCCCGCGCAAGGCCTCCCCCCCCCTGGAGAGACCCAGAACGGCTCGGAGGGGGAGGAGGAGGAGGAGGAGGAGGAGGAGGAGGAGGAGGAGGAGGAGGAGGAGGAGGAGGAGTAGGAGGAGGAGGAGGAGGAGGAGGAGGAGGAGGAGGAGAGGAAGAGGAGGAGGAGGAGGAGGAGGAGGAGGAGGCGGGGAGGACGATAAGGAGGCACCGTTCGGACCGTTCGTGCCAGAGCTCTCGGTGATGAGAGGGAAGTGGACATGGAGCTGGGAAGGGGATGGGCTCTCGAATGTGTTCGGAGGTCTCCAAAGGTTCATGCCAGGCGGTTTTCATAACGTCCTGGTATTTTCTGGAGGAGGAAGTGGGGGATGAGGGGGAGCAACAGCAGCAGTAAGAGAAAGAGACAATAGCGAGGGGATGAGCAAGCGGAGGAGGAAACCATAATGATAAATGATGATGGTGGTGATGATGATGTTGATGATGACGGTGATGACGATCAATATGCCGATGAAGATGATGCTGATGATGATGCCGCTGCTGATGCTGCTGCTGCTAATGATAATGATGCTGCTGATGATGTTGGTGATGCTGATGCTGCTGCTGCTGAGGATGATGCTGATGATGATGATGATGATGATGATGATGATGATGATGATGATGATGATGATGCTGACGATTGTGATGATGCTGATGATGATGCTGATTATGTTGATGATGATGGCATGATGATGATGATGATGATGATGATGATGATGATGATGACGATAATGAGGAGCATGAGAAACAGGAGTAATACATGGGAATGTAATATGGGAGCTCAAACATGTGCGGAAGTGGCTGCCGCCCCGTGCTTCCTCCCAGAAGCCCGACGCAATGTTTTTTCTCAACGTGGTCCCTGGGACATCTCGACCTATCCCTGGTGACTCAGGTCGTTATGAGAATGTTTTGATGGTCTAGGACCTGGAACGAGTCTCTGGAAACCCCAAGTGTGGAAAACCTTGGAAGAGGAGGAGGAGGAGGAGGAGGAGGAGGAGGAGGGAGGAGGAGGAGAGGAGGAGGAGGAGGAGGAGGAGGGGGAGGAGGAGGAGGGGGGGAGGAGTTGGAGGAGGATGTGGAGGAGAAGGAGAAGGAGAAAGACGGAGGAGGAGGAGGAGGAGGAGGAGGAGGAGGAGGAGGAGGGAGGAGGGGGAGGAGGAGGAGGAGGAGGGGAGGAGGAGGAGGAGGAGGAGGAGGAGGAGGAGGAGGAGGAGGAGGAGGAGGCGGAGGAGGAGGAGGAGGAGGAGGAGGAGGAAGGGGGGCGAGAACAAGTCTCCGGACCCCCCAGGTGTGGAAAGTTCTTACGCCGGCGGGGTCTGGGTTGCTCGAGGCCTCTGCAGACACTCCCCCCAAAAAGCAAGAACACCTGAGAAGACCTCGATCCTCGTCCTGCTGGGCGTCATCGCGTCGTCGTCGCCGTCGTCGTCGTCGTCGTCGTCGTCGTCGTCGTCGTCGTCGTTGTAGTGGTCGAGGTCGTCGTCGTCGTCGTCGTCGTCGTCGTCGAGGTCGTCGTCGTCCTCCTCCTCCTCCTCCTCCTCCTCCTCCTCCTTCTCCCCCTCCTCTGTCTCCTCCTTCGTCATTGTGCTTCGCCCCGGTACCCCCGTCGCATCCCAAAGCCGCGAGGCCCCCCGCGCCGCCGCCGTCCGGGCGCAGCGCGACCGCCCTGAGGCACCCCAGCTCCGTCTCCACGGTCTCGTCGAGCCTGTACCTCTGGAAAATGAGCACGTCTGGGACCTCGGAGGCAACTCCCCCAGGTGATGATGCTGCTGCTGATGGTGATGATGCTGCTGCTGATGATGACGATGACGGTGATGCTGCTGCTGATGATGATGATGCTGGTGATGATGATGCTGATGATGATGATGCTGATGATGATGATTGTGATGACGATGATGATGGTGATGACGATGATGATGGTGATGAAGATGATGATGGTGATGATTATGATGATGATGACGATGATGATGGTGATGAAGATGATGATGGTGATGATGATGATGATGAGGAGGAGGAGGAGGATGCGTAGAGGCGCAGGATGAGAAAGAGAATGACAAGAAGGATGAGGACGAACACCTCTTAGCGTTGGCCGAGGGTCCAGGGTTGCACCTCCGTGCGCCAGATGAGGAGGACAAGGAGAAGGAGAAGGAGGGGGAGGAGGGAAAACGAGAATGAGGAGGCGGAGAAGGAGGAGGAGAAGGAGGAAGAAGAAGGTGCGGAGGAGCAGGGGGAGGAGGAAGAGGAGGAGGAGGAGGAGGAGGAGTAGGAGCAGGAGGAGAAGGACGAGGAGGAGAAGGAGGAGGAGGAGGAGCCCGAGGAGGAGGATAGGGGTCGTGAAACTGATGGGCAGGAGGATGGGGGAGCAGGAAGACGAGGAGAAAGAAAATGAGTAGGTGCATGACCAGACGGGGGGGAGAGCTGGTCGACGCAGCATCGGAGGACACCAACTGTCCACCGATACAGATCCTGGCCAGGCTGATTACTTCTGGATGCGCCCTTCCTGGACTTGACAATAAGGCGCCTGCGCTGATTCTGGGCCCAAATTTAACCTGATCGATGCGCCCAAAGATCTGAGGCCGTAGAATGATCATACTGCCGTGAGAATCGTGACCAAACTCTCGGCCGCATCTTTATGCTGGATTTCTCGGCTTGGATCGATCCGACACGTGATGGTTGGTCGCTGCGCTTCGCTGGGCTGTCTTCCCAACTGATGGGACGGAGACTCCACCATGAATTGCGGCTGGCCTGGTCCTCTCATACTTGAGAAAAACAACACGCTGGCCTAGAAAGCTGCGCTGGTTCAAGTGGCGTGCTGAAGGAGGATTAGGAGGAGGACGGGGAGCAGGAGATGGAGGAGGAGCAGGATGGGGATGAGGAGGGTCCCAGGGCCCAAGGCGGGGCAAAAATGTGCGCCACGACTTGTTCGCGACTCACCGATCTGAAGGCGTACGGCTCCTTGGCGTTCGACGGGCCAGGGCATCCGAAAGACACTCCGGCAGAGAACTCTCCAAATCATCAAAGCACGGCATCACCCGAATCGGGGCAAATTAAGACTCGGGTTCGGGGGACTCGGGTTGGCCTGACGAGGCCATCATGAAGATGACGAGACCCAGTCTGAAACTTGACGAGAGCTCCGGCTGCAAGCGTGCCACGAACCCTGGACCGTCAAAAAATCCCGGCCGCGCTCGTCACGAAGGGCGTCGGCGAGCCCCGAGCTCCAGCGTACATACTCGAGTCTTGGGCTTCCCCGACCGGAGGAGGAGGAGAAGGAGGAGGAGGAGGAGGAGGATGAGGAGGAGGAGGAGATGGGGGAGGAGGAGGAGGGAGGAGGAGGAGGATGAGGAGGAGAGGGGAGGAGGAGGAGGAGGAGGGGGGGAGGAGGAGGAGGAGAGGAGGAGGAGGAGGGAGGGGAGGAGGGAGGAGGAGGAGGAGGAGGAGGAGGAGGGGGAGGAGGAGGAGGAGGATCGGATCGGATCGGAAACGCTGGGGACGATCCCAAGCTCCCAAACGGACAGCCTGCATTCACAAGCCAACTGAAAAGAGCACACATCCCTGCGGCGGCCAAAGGCCGAACAACATCCAGATTGTTTAAAACCCGAGGACCCCGCAGCGAGGAGGGCCTCGACGGGCCCCGAGGCAAGCCCCAAGACGGGGGGAGCTGCCCCCCAGGGGTGCCTGCGGGCGCCAGCATGCACTGATCACGATCGGCGACGTGACGGCTGACCCCCCCGCTTCGGAGGGGGGCGTCCTCGCCTAGGCTCCTGGGCGGGCTCGGCGCGCCCCTGGGCGCGGTCCTCGTCCGCCGCCGCGAGCCGCGCTTCCTCTCCCCCCCCCCGTCCACCGCCGTCCCACCCCCGCTCCCCACGAAGACATCCCTGCCAGTGACCCTCGCGTCGCGGATAACACCGCGAGCAACCAGGGAGGCGAGGCGGGCACTGGAAGCAAGATTGGGGGAGAGCAGCAAAGGGCGGGGAGTGCGAAAAGGGTTCAAAGTGGAAAAGGAAGGCGGGCAGGGGAGAGGCAGTGGCTCACTCCACTCAGGTGGGGGGCAGGTCCTATCATCAGCCGCAGCACGTGATAACTCAGATCCCACTCCCATCTCATTCGAATCAGCATTTGTTGGCGCCGAAGGTGAGGTTCTCGAACTCTTGCCAGGAGGAGACCAGTTCAATACACCATCATTATTCAAACTCTCAGTCTCAAGCCTAGCTTGCTGAAGTCCAGAATTCATAACTTCACCATGCCAGTCAATAATAACGGGTATATCTTCAGATTTCAGCTCCCGCGCTGGAGCCACTGCTGAAGGTGGCGCTCTGCCTGACTGCGGGGTGCCGAGCCCACCAAGCGCTGCGCCTGGAGCTCCGCGAGCGTGCGCATCATCAGCTCCTGGAGGGCGAGACCTGCAGCCGATCCCTGGGCGATGTGCAGCTTGAACTTGACCATCCCCTCCATGCGCTTGCTCTTCTCCCCGCGCGGTACCTGGAAGGAAAAATGACGGACCATCAGCGCGATCTCGTCGGGCGTTTTGTCTTTTACATGGATGTCCCAGAAGAGGTTGACCGCGTCTTTGTACTGGCCGTTCTGAGAGTGCTTCTTGATCTCTGCCAATGCAATCCAGAACACAGTGAGCCACGGTGGCCCTAGACTGCCGAGGTCCGTCGACGGGTCGGTGGCGGCCTTCTCTTTCAGCTGCTTGACACTCTCGGCGTAGTACTTGTTGCCTCTGAGGCCTGCCTGGGACAGCCACGTCTGCTCTGATATCAGAAACGTATCGTTGATGCTCGACTCCATGTCTGCGATCGCCCTCGAGTTGGCCAGCGTCTGTCGCACCACCCACTTGGGCGTCGCGCCGTCCATGGAGTCGTCTCCTCGCCTGCCACCTCCTTTTCCGCCACGGCCCCCGCTGGCCCCCCCGGCTGCGCTGTCGGTGCGCGCCGCCTGGGCAGGGGGAGCTCCCTCGGCCGCCTCGCCCATGCGCTTGCGCAGCGGGAAGATCCAGGCGGGGGCGTCTGCAAGATCGATCTCCATGGCCTCGGCCATGTCGCAGCTCACGCACCTCTGGGAGTGCAGGGAGATGCGTGCACGCGTGGATGCAGCACTCGTCCAGTGTCAAAAAACTCGAGCCGCATACGCGGCAGGATAGATCTCCAGGCGGGGCGAGTGCACGAAGTGTAGATGCTTTGCCACTTGGACATCTCCCGTGCATAATCGAACCATGAAGATGCTTCTGAGCCGTTTTCTTGTCCCAGAATATTTCACGACATGCTATGCACTGGTTGCACTTAGTGAGCGCTTGCGATAACTTCACTGTGCCATGCGTGCGACGGATGTGATTGATAAGTCCAGACCGCGATGCGAATCGAGAAGGACACGACGGCCATGGACATATATGCGAGTCGTCCGTGCACAACGCCTCGGCCTCGAGAGCCTCGAAATCCACGAAGATGCCTGGAGGTGGGACTTCTGAGGTTTGAACAGCACTGCGAAGGATACTGACATCAACCCTTACGAAATCTTTGGCTATCTCAAACTCGAAGAGGCGAAGGAGCGAACCCGATGCGCGATCCCAACATTCAGCAGCATCAGAGCTCCATTGAACCAGCGTGTAGATATCATCCTGAAGTCGAACTGCCCAGGGATTAGCCTGTGGTTTGATGGTGCCCGCGTCCGTGAAGACCCCCACCCCATCAGACATAGTGCCCAAGAGAGCCGCAAGATATTGTGCATGTGCCGCGGGTCGTCGAATACATGCCTGGAACCACCGAAGACGCCGAACCTGGAGCTCGATCCCGATCGGTACGATGCGCCACCATTCGAGAACAGCTAATGACGACAAAGACCTCCTCCTGCTCTCCTCGCCCTCCCAGCTCGCTTCCCCCCTCATAGCTTTACGTGCCAGGGCGGCAACAGCATACTGGAGCGTCATTAACTGCTTAGGACTGGGAAGGAACGCCTCCACCCCCGAGAGCGCCGTATTCACAATGTTGCATAGTAGTACACAGCGCTTCCACCTCACAGGAACGCCCTTCTGTAACCAGAAATTGCCCAACCGATAGAAGGGTGATTTCATAGCAGCGATTATTCTCGTGAGTTCCGTACTGAACGACTGTGTCGGAGTGATGTGCGGCCCCAGGTATCGAACGGAACTGCTGATGCGAGTGTCGCGGTCCCTGAGAATCGCAGCTGCACCCCGTCGAAAGCTATGGGGCACCGAGATGATCGCCTCCTGTTTATTGATGTTTCTCTTAAGGCCTATAGTACCCAACTCCTCATCCAAGATCTGGTCATTCAAATCGAGGAGCTGACCGAGCTTCTGAGCATTATACGGGGGACCAATGACTATTTTTTTTTTAAAGAAGATCATCAGCGAACTTCTGCAGTCCAAGATACACAGGTTCATTGCCAAGTCCAAGCTCGGCGGGTAGCGTGGACCAGAGCAACTGTTCCCCTGGGTCCTGCTCCTGGCACCGCTGTAACCAGCGATCCACTGGGCCCTTAAATACTCGCACAAAGCTGGCCACCGCGAAAGGGTCGCCCTGCAAAGCTCCACATCCAGGCTTGACCGCCAGTGGCCCGTCAGAAGACGGAAGCATACAGCCAGAGGTGTGATGCCGCTGTCTACATGAGGCTCGGTCCCGAGGTTGGGCCAGGGCATGGCAAGCTTGGTCCAGGGAGTTCCAGGTAGGGGAGGCAAACGCATTCGACAAATCTTTCAGGGAATCGCACCACTGGATTCC